TCAAAAAGTTGGATGATAATTATAAACAACTTTTAGGATACTAATTATGATGACAAGAATTTTCACGGAACACAAATCTAGTTATGACGAAAGAGAAGTTTCATGACATATAATTGAAAACTACAAACGTTCAAACTGTTTACGAGGTCTTCCTACAACTGTATGATTGAAGATAACTTTTTCCTACCACGTTTTGTTTCTGCGTCACTGTAACAAAATTATTTTCTTGTGAATTTATTTTCATCCCAAGTAACGCAACGAAAGACTGAGTGAATTTAGTTTCGTGACCAAATGAACAGATCGTTAAAGTCAGTTTCGATTCGTTTCTTTTCCGAAACGAAACTAAAGTGAATTGTGTTGCATTGGTTACGAAACTTTATTTCTTTATTTAGTTTCGTTATTAATATTTGTTGAAAGACAAGTAACGAAAGTCGAGAGAGGTCCATTGGGGGATATGGACCCCAGGCTACATTTGTGTACTTGTACGTACTATGAATATTTGAGGGAATCTAGTGCGCTACGAATCTAACGCGCACCTCATATTTGAAACTTAAAATTATGAAAAAATTGTTTATATCGAATGTAATGCAAATCAATGACGGCATAATAGGTATTGTATTTTAATTAAATTTATGTAATACGAAATGTATATTTTTTAATTAAATTTATTTATTGTCGCATCAACAATGTGGTTATTAGCGACTATTACATGTATTATATTAAGTGTGATTACGGAATTATGATATTTGGCAAAAAACAATATTACAATTTAAATTTACAATACACTTTAAAAGCATTAAATCATACTCGGGAAGAATAAATTTATACAAAACAATGAGGTTAAATTTCAGTAAATATATTGATAGCTTTACAAAAGTTGATTATTTTATCTTGATCTTCCGATGAATGTAGGATATCAGTGTATTTAAATCCAAATTACTGCCTCTGATGGTTATATCTGGAGCATACATTAATGATGTGTTTAAGGTCAAGTTTGATAACAATGGATTTATCGTATGCATAAACTATTAGGTTATAGAATATAATAGTAATGCTATCTGGTGAGCACGCCCTTCTTCAGACCCATCTCCCCATGCTTCAAGGATGCTTGGTCGCAGCCTTCGTCCGTCTGTAATCTTGCACAGTAAGTGCATGACGTCACGCTTCCACGTTTTACACAGGCCTTTGGCGGAATGAAGTGGGAACGTAACGCATTTCTTTTCCCTGTAAGCAGCTTCAAGTACGTTATGGCCGGCCGTTGTCGAACTGACAGAGAAAAAATTTGAAATGATGGTTTCATAATATAACTCGGAAGTCCATTATTAATAAATAAATACATACATTTATAAATTTCTTTGGGGGACAATTTCTATAGCAGAGGTTCCGCCTTACAGCCTATAATGGCGAGCACTGCCTGTTTTGGAGGATGGTAATAATGGCTGTACATTATTTGCATAATTTAAAGGAGGATAAAAACTAATATGATCGGGGTTACATTGTTAGTATTGTCTTATCCATCCATTATTATCGGTGCATGTAAAGCATTAAATGTTGAAAAATATTTGACGTATATTATCCTGAATTTATCTGTTTTCGTAATGTTTACATTTCAATAAATTATTCGTAAACTTGGTAAAACTCTCATATGTTTTACACTGTCCTCGAGACGTTACACTTTAATTTATAACTGACAACAGAAATGTACACTCGTATCTATTAAACGTGTACACGTAAATAAAACAATGGAAATCACCTGGAGCACTGATTCCAGAAATGGGTGAGGCTGAATTGAGTGTAAATAATAATAATAATAATAATAATAATAATAATAATAATAATAATAATAATAATAATAATAATATAATAGTAATAATATGTTATAAAAATTAGGAGCTTGGTTATAATGTGTCAAGATATATCTTTCTTATTTTTCTCTGTGGCGGATTTCATTACACAGAATGGTGAGTCACGCAACTTTACCACCTCCTGCCATTTTTTATGATATTGCAACGAAATTTTCACGGAAGTACAGAAAGGAATAAAGCTGATTGACGCTTATATTTATTCATTTTATCACCAGAATAATAAGAGATATTGAGGCTGATCGTATTTAAAAATAAGAAACGTGTTCTAAGTCTTCATAAAACAATTGTAATTTTATTCTGATTTCACTCCGATACTTTCTGATATTTTACCATACGTATGATCGAGAATTTGATAGATTGAAAGTAAGTATTTTCCATAACTTATGACTCATAAGTAAGGATTGAAATTTTTTTGTTACTTTATGCGGCGACAAACCATGCGATTTTAACGGGATCGTTAACAAGAAGAATACATTAATATGATTGTACAAAGAGTAGTAAGCATAAAATAAATGGTGGATAGAAAATGTCTCTAAGATAATATAGTTAATCACTAAAATAAACATTTAAATAAAAGTTAAACACACTATGATACTATTCAATTTACATGAGCATATGCATCTATAATTCTATATTGGAGTAATACGTACATGGCGAACACATTCGCAACTGAGTTTCAGAAGATAATATTCAGTTGTGGTCCGGATGGCCTTGATCATTAAGGCAGAAGAGCAGTAGCGATCTGGACTGAAAGATTGGGTTGGAGTCTCGCCTCGGGCATGGTTGGAGTTGTGTTCGTCCTTTTACCCCTCACCATCACCATATCACATTATGCTGTTAACCCTATCGTTAATCTAATGTGACCTTAAATAAAAGAAAATTCTGTTGTCGAAGCAAATGCTCAATAATTAAGCTTCATTGAAATTCTTAGGTCCCTGCTGGTATTCCTCACATTCTAAATCGATACTCCTGTAAAATACAAGCTACTTCACTCCATTTTCTTGGGTCAGGGGTCAGGCATGAAAGAAAGTGAAGGGACGCATGCTGATGAATATGGAAAGACAGAGCGCTTCAGAATTTCTTTGCAAAGGCAGAAGTTGTCGATTTCTACTTCTTTTGTAACTTCCCAAAATTTACCTGCTAATATTCCTCAGACCCTATAAAAATGTATTTTGCTGATTTGGCTATGCCAGCGTAACATTAAGCCAGCAAAGTCACCAAGTTTTTAAAAAAATTGTTTGAGCCATAAAATAATTTTTGGATATTTGAAAAAGCACGAAAAAAGCACAAAATTCAGGTTCACTAAAGCAATTTGTTAAAAAAACAGTAAAAACTGTATGTGATGTAGGGAGGAGGAGATTATCTGCGCACGTTCTCTTTAGTTCCAGAACCCCATCCCATCATTTTAACTATAAATAGTTGAAAAATGAGTAAAAGTTTAACATAAATAAAAATAAATTTTATAAATCGCAAGATTAGCAATATTTTTTAAAAGTCAATTTCGTTTCCAAGTTATAGAAAATTTATTTGCATCGGTACCCGAATTGCAAGTATAATTTTTCTGCATTGCTAGCAAAGTAACACGTGGCACTTATTCCCACATTGTGGCAATTAATTAGCAATAAATCATTTGAAGGTTTCTGTCGAGCTACGATCTGAATTTAACTCGTGAGTGCTGGCATTTCGTGTCAAGCCAGCTTACACCTTTTCGCCACGAAAGCAAATGGCAATTATTTCCGAGTTGTAGCAATTAATTAGCATTAAATCATTTGATGGTTTCCGTCGACCTACGATCCGAATTTAACTTATGTGTGCTGGCTTGACACGTCAAACTAGCTCACACCCGTTTTCAACACGAAAACAAGACGCAATTAATTCCAAATCGTGACAATTAATTAGCAGTTAATTAACAATAAATCATCTGAGGGTTTCCGTCGAGCTACGAACCAAATTTAACTCCGCTGCTGTCGCGTCAAGCCAGCTCACACCAGTTTTCGTCACGAAAATACGTGGCAATTAATTCGGAATTGTAGCAATTCATTAGCAATAAATGTTTTGACATGTTTTATTCGGGTATGCTGATATGGCTGTTCCAGCTTTGACACACCTCCTTATGTTTGCTGTTCACAACTAGATTCATTCTTCTCCAAGCAACATACACATTTTCGAGAGTTTTACTTTTATTAAGGACATGTCATCACAATTTCCTCACCACATTGATTGCGCCTGTCACAATTTCTGTGATATATATTTTAAGCAGTCAAAGCGAAGGTGAATTCATTATAGCGCCTTCTCACATTCTTTATATTGTACACTCCTGGTAACTTGTAGCAAAACGAGAAATAAGTCCGTTGCTTGTGAAGCCACACGTGGAGTATGGCATTTTATAAATAAAGATCTATTGTGACAATTAGTTAAAGAATGTCCCGGATAAACGTGGAAACGTGTAATCCATATTTTGCGTTAGAAGAGATATTTAAATGGATTTTTGGCAGTCGTTTATATCGAGTGAAACTTCTTCAGCATGAATAACAATTTCATTACATTCGAAAGTGAGTAAATATGATGCGAAAAAATATTATCTGGCATTTTCTTTAGATTTATATATTAGTACATCAGCTTTACAGGGGATCGATTAATGATATTTTAGCGTCTGTAATTACTCCGTGAATGGCGTACATGTTGTTTTCAATGGCGGCGGTTGTTACATCCAAAGAATAGAAGAAAATACCTTGAAACATTTGACGGTCTTGTATTGAGGTATGATTTGCTCAAAAATGCTAATTGTGTCTGAAAACGTGTGTTTCATTTGTCGCAACATGTATCTACTGTGGTGGGATACTTTTGGTTTTAGTGCTCGCAAGATACAGGTGCATTAATATGTTTACGGTTTGGTTGTATAGTGCTTCTCGTAATATTGTGCTACCAAAGTACTGAGTATGTATATATTTCTTTCATTCTTCGCACAAAATTACTGATAATTCATGCGAAATGACGTAATTAATTTTTTTCCATTACTGTTACCATTACTCTTTGTTGACGTGCACCGGCGGGACACTGTTCCTATTGGACGTTAACATCTAGTCTGTGGCGCAAAAGTGATTTTTGCTTATATTTTTGTTAATTATTTTCCAGTCGTTCACGTATGAGCTGAATGTGCACCGGTACTCATGGAAAATAATTTGAGCCGGGCGCTGGAAGCATCATCACCGACACATGTAAGTTCTTGTTTGGTGATATGTGTCAAATATCCCGGTCTGCAATTTTGAATGAAGTTTGTTCGTTACAAGTAATTTAAAAATTTAAATGAAATTTTGCCTTTGAAAGTAGTAGCGTTAGTGTAAGTCTCCCACAGTGCTAAATTACTGATGTAGCTTTTTAATACAAAACATTTATGTAAAAAACTTATTTTGTTATTTAATAATGTGCCCAGGAGTATTCCTTAAAATTGTTGTCATATAGTGTACAATAAAATGTTGCCATATAGTGTTCTATTATAGAATGTTGCCATATATACAGTGCAAAACTAAGAATATGTTAAATACTCTTAGAATTGGTGTTTATCTCAATTCAAAGATCTGCTTGACAATTGTAATGACTACCCATATATAATTATCTGTGTTTTTTTCTAGGAATGTGATATTCAAGTAGCTTGTAGAGAGTTGATAATTATTTTTTTCTTCTTTAGTCAACACAGTTGCTTCTCACACAAAGATTTCTCATAATTATGACTTACGTCAATTGTTATTGTTAATTGTCAATTAAAAATGAGATCTCCACCATCACTGTGATCTAACAGAAGTAAAGTATGTTGTTCCTTGTTTCTGAAAAGTATTTTAAGTGAGTGTGTGATATATGTAGTTGTATGGAATCGGATTACTGCAATAAATGGTTTTAATTTAAATACCTGAAAGTAAATGCAGTTTCAACGATAAGAAAATGATAGGATGTTTTGCAGAAAACTTGACTTTGTAAGATGTCTTAAATGAATTAATATTCCCCTGGATTAGTTCACAAAGGAGTATTGTTAGGTTGGTAATAAAGATGCTTTCTTGAAATATCGAGAAGGTTAATTCCTTCTTTTGAAGGACTTAGTTGCTTTAAGCAATGACAAACAAGACACATGTCAGTCAGTCTGATTACCAGTTTTCATATTTGCACATTTAATAAACTTTTAAATTGGAAATCAGTACTTTTAAAAAAATGTTAATTGTTCACTCTTTTATTTTTCAAAAAATGATAAGAATTTGTGTAATAGTGTTGAATGAGTTACTCTACAGATATAGAAGTGTCACTCTTGATCAAATCTGATCTGTCTTTGTTATTGCTCCAAGACATCTGTTTTTTCGTGAATAGTGTTAAGGGAAAAGATGATAATGATTGCTTGATTGAGAGCTCCCCTGAGAACCAAGTTTAGGAACTATTTGTTACACTAATCTTTGGACAGATGATAGCACGGAATTAGTAGTTTCTTGTCGACCTAAGTGTTTTTATGTGATGTTGATTATATGATATAAACATGAATGACTGACATGTGATCTTCTAGATTTAATTTTCTCCTGAGTCCCTAAAAGAGCTTATTTTATCCTTCATGAATTGTGGATGGAAGAAGGCCAGAAAACTAGGCATTAATTTGAACAATGGAATAACCTGAATTGTAAAAGTCGTTTGAGTATTGGAGGAGGTAAAATAAGTCATTAAATATGTAGATGATCAACTTTGGCAGATTTTAAAGAACATCGTCTCCTGAGATAGAGAATATTGTGGGTAGGGAAAGAATGTTCAGTAAAATTAAATGTAATAGTAAAAACAAAAGCAATGATGATGCGGTGATGCGAGAGAGTATGGAAGTGTGTACGGAAGTGAGTTGTGTATGGAAGAATAGGAGGAAGTACAGATAGTGGGAACTGATAGACTTAATAAAAAAAAAGAGAATAGGAAAGCAAATTGAGTTGGTCATATTTTGAATGAAATAGTTTTAAACGTTAATAGATGGGGAAAAAGAATATTGGAATTTTTTTGTGAGAAATGGAAAAATCTGTAAGCAGTTTAAGTGCACATCACAGAATAAATTGAAACCTGTTGTAAAATGAAGAGGTTTCTGGATGTTTTTTTAGCAATGTATTTAAAACTAGAAGTAGGTTAACTATGCAGTATTTTTAATCATTGGGGAGTGAATGCATTGTTATAAAGTATTATAACCATTAACAATATTATAATTATCATCATCAACATTATCACAGGAAAAAGCATTGAGTCATTTAAATAATTGGTTTAATGCATTACTTGGCACTTTTTTACAGAAGAAGCAAGATCTGGCCAATGTCTGAAACAACAACAGTGAGCTCTTTGTCTCAGTATATCACATTCTACAGGTTTTATTCTGTTGTGTAGTAGTATACAGTATTGTAATATATATAATATAAGGTAGTTTATGAAATTTACGTTTAGTTGTTTGTTTTTTTTTGAAACGCATGAGAGCAAAGTTGATAAGTCATGAAATTCGGATATCCAGCAGGATTGGTTGGTCAATGATTATGGTTTGTGTTGTTAAGTGCATTTTGAGCATCACAAAAGACTGAATATTAAAATTATTTTCAGTTTAAGTTTAATTATATCAGGAGAAAATTTTCTTATAATTTGTAATTACTTGATTGTTGAAACTGGAATTTTTTGAATATATTTACAAAATTAAGAAATGGGAGTAAATAAGTGTGATTCAAAGATCTACTTAATAATGTCGTTCATTGTACAAATCATTAAATTGTTGGAGAAGTCTTTTTGTGAGAAACAATTGTTCTCTATGGCTGAGGTGCAAGTAGCAATTAATAATTGCATGAATTTAATTTCAATTACCCAGTGAAGTAGTTGGTAGAATTAGACTGACATTTGCAAAGGTGCATTTTGCATATGCTTTTGAAATTGAGTGTATCATGAAAGGTTTTTTTTTTTGAGGGGGAGGCTGAATAACGTGTATAATATTTACCATACTTATACTATTGCTCAAGTGGTCTAATTTACTAATTATTTTTACAGGTGATATAATTTTAATTAATTGAAGAAACTGATCCAGTATTTTGCCAATGTGTTTTTGGTTGTGTCCATATAGTTCATGCAAATCAAAAGTAATCTTTCACAGTAAAACCTCATTAATTCAACATTTCATCTGGGTGTATAGAATATGACTGGAAGTTTTTAGAACTAAGTATCATGTGATGATAGTGAATGGAATTAATTTCACCCATGTAGGCTTGGATTTAGTGTGCTAGTCATCTCGAGCTGACTAGCACACTATGTTGCACCTTTTTCGATTGCAATTTTGGCTTTAACACAGATGTGAAGATAGATGTTGGTCGACACCACAACTGCTGGTGCCTTGTAAGGCCACTTGAATGTGAAACACTGAAGGTTGACAAACTTGTTGAAATAATGTATTTCCTTGAATAATGCATTGTTGTAATGAACAATGACACATTTATATAAAATACATTAAGTCAGAAACACACTGCCACATTAATTTTTAAATTACATTTACCGTTATTACGAAATTGTGTTTTGCAAATAAGCGCAATTTTGCAATGTGAGAATTGACTGATGCTGTTATTGACGGGTATGTATATTTTCTTCCATATGGTGTCAATAACTGAAACTGTTAAGATAACACCTTAAAGGAACGAACTACATTGTTTATGGGGTTATATTACAATTAAGGTTTTTGTCAATCGTTATTCAATGTTCTGAACAGTCTTTCCAGAAGGATGTCAGAGTAATATGTTGTCTTTTTATATATAGAGGAAACTATGCACACTATTGGAACTTTTGGACATTTTAGAAACGAACAATGGTGAGATTCCAAAAAATGGTGTGGATGAAACATTACACCCTCTAAATTGATTTGATGACGTAACAGATGTTCAGTACGTTCAGACATAACAGATTCGTAAGCAGAAAAATTCCAAATGTGGATTATTTACCAGCAAGTTGACTAAATGCTTCGTGTGCAGAATTTCAGACATAACAGGTTTATGTGCAGAAAAAATCCAAAGTATATTATTTACCAGCAAGTTGACTAAATGTTTCTGCACTTTGTGATTTGGACATTTCTGCGAGAATTTGGAGAAAATATGCCTATTACTGTTTATGCTGGGTGATATTCAAACAATTTGCTCCTCACGTGCGATATCATTCTGTCGATGAATCAATGGTCCCGTACTTTGGAAGACATGGCTGCAAATAATTCACTCAAGGAAAAACATTTAGATACAGATTTAAATAATGGTATGGAAGTACTAGTGGTTGATATGCTCTTGGCTTGAACCCTTGAATCAAGAAATGGACTACAGTGTGGTTGACATAGTAATGACTTTTGTGAACCAGTCACTTCCACATGTTTCTCATCCAATTTTCTTTTATAACCTGTTTACCAGCTTTGAACCATATTACCTAAAGAAGATGGGCATAGAATCATCTGGAATAATAAGAGGAAAGAGTCAATATCTCCAGATAAAATTATAAAAGAAGAGTGGGTATTGTATGAAGTCTGTTTCAGCATCAGGTTTGCTCGTTCAGCATAAGTTTGTAGCAATGACAAGAGTGCTGTTACTATAGTCACCAACTTTGTCACAGTTCAACCATTGTGTTCTGTAGAAACATTTTCCAGGGAAAAAAAGAGAAGAAATAGCATACCTCAGCCTAAACTTTTGTAAATTCCTACAAAGCTCATATGAGGGGCATAGATCAAGCTGATCAAAATGTATCCCTTTATAGTTGGTTGACAAGAGGAAAATTGTGGTACATTTCATAGACACTAGAGCAAAATACTTGGGATTTCTGCAAGCACAATAAAGACATAGTATATCATTTAACATTTTGCGGTCAAATTGCCACTGCAATATAAGAAAGTAACAAAGGAGTGACTACTAATAGAGGCCCCAAAAAGATTCTTGATTTGATGGAAGAGAACATTATGTTGCTGAATTACTAAGTGACGAAAAAACACAAAAGAAGCAACTGCGATGCCAGAATTGCCCCTAAAACACTACTTCTGTGTGTCTAAAATATGATGATCCCCTTCATGTTTGTTGCTTTAGTATACAGTAGGATTAAACATGTTTATAAGATTTTGTTTATTTATTGCCGTTATTTGTGGTTGTAACCCCAAAACTCACTTTTCTTCACGTTTATTTGAAAATTCTGATACCCAAACAAGTTTTCTGTT